GATTGCCTGAGCCCATGGGTTCGGGAACAGCCTGGGCAACTTGGCAAGACCTCATCTCTACAAGAAATTAAAAAATTAGCTGGGCATGGTAGCATACATCTGTAGTTCTGACTACTTGGAAGGCTGAGGCAGGAGAATCACCTGAGCCCAGCAAGCAGGTCGACGCTGGGATGGCCATGAGCATGACACTGCACTCCAGCCTCGGCAATGGAGTGAGACGCCAAGTCAAGAATAAAAGGTAAATGTCAAGGCTGTTGGTTATACCTAGTATTGAAAACATTCTGGAGAAATGAGAATTCTCATATATGGTGCTAGTGGGCATATAAAGTAGGTAAAACTTTGTTGGAGGGCAATTTGACAACATATTGCCAAAACCTAAAATATACAAAGCTTCTGACACAACAATTCCAGTTCTAGGAATAGTTCTCAAAGGAATAAGGATGCACACAAGGATTTAGAAATAAAATATGAATCATATCTATTGTTAAATAATAACAAAATTCTACAAAGAATCTAAAAGATCAACATTAGCAAATAAGAGATAGCACCACCTACCAATGCAGCCATTAAAAAGGAAATTGTAGAAGACTAGTTAGAGACGTTGAAAGATGCTTGTTAGATACCATTAAGTGAAAGGCATTACAAAATTATAAAGCATAATTTTATTTTAACAAAAGACATGTACAATATATATTAATGTCTAGGAAAGAGTGCTTGCACAGATTATCTCTGGGTTAGGTAATTCTAGACAATTTTCATTTTTTCTTTCTGCTTCTCTATGTTTCATTGTCCTAAAATGAAGATGTATCACTTTTATAATGAAAACATCAATAAAGGTTATTCTTCAAAAAATATCAATGCTAATGCTCTATAAATGATACTGTGAGAAATATGAGTCTTGGGCCTTAGTGGCCAAAAGAAATATTTATTAGAGGTCTGGAAAAAGGTTTAGGTGTCGCAGGGAGGCCTGAAATGTTGCTGCTCTTTAAATGGGGCCCTACGAGGTCCTGCTTGGGCCTGGAACACCAAAAATGGTGGTACGGGCACTGGCCTCACTCTCCAGAGCAGCTGGCCCTGTTTTGGCCTCCTTGCAAAAGGAATAGCTATAAACAAGGATAAAAAACTTAGCATTTGTCTTGCCTTGGACAATGGATCCAGTTAGGTTGGGTCCACGCTACATGTCTGAGCATTAGGCATTTTAGGCCTAGGCCATGCAAGCAAGAATATGAGAGCAGCAAGGGTCTCACTAGTTCCAGTTTTCCATTTACAGTTAGAGAAAGCAAGGCTCAGATGGGTCTCTCCATGTGCTGCTCAATCAACATTCCTTCGTGAATGTTGTGGCAGCAGCTTGCAGTGAAATCGTGCTATAGTGTCTGCTAACTCAAATAGCCCATTTCCAGAACAGACATACCACATACCTCCTGGGAATCCCAACACTCAAGTCTTAATGAAGAAGTGTTAGCCCCAACACGTGGCTTTAAAAACCCCAAATCTCCCTTCTCTCCCTTCCTCCTACGAGCACATGAGAATCAAGGCCCATGAGTCACTGTCCCTGTGCCACAGAACTATGATGCTCTCTGAGTCTGAGTCTGTTCTGGCCAGCTGACCTTGTACATGGAAGAAATACATACGCGGGAATCTCGCTGCTTACTGGCTACAACAGACCTGAGTAATGGCTTTCATCCTGTGTCGCAACTGCCACCAGATTTGGTAAGAGTGTTAGAATGAATTCAAAGGCAGCACCTGGGCTGAGTGAAAGTGTCCTGACTGATTAGGGATGTTTGGCTTATGGGAGAGCAATCAACAGTATCTCTGACACCTATTTCTGTCTTGGTCTAGAATATCTATTACCCTCAAAATAGAGTTTCTTCATTAAATCTCTCCCACTATCGATTATTCCCATGGAGTGTCAGATTAATTTTCCCTCCAAATTACTTTTACTATGTCATTCTCTTACTTAAAAACCCGGGAAAAGACTGTTCCCATCTCCTACATAGTAAATCTACAGCCTTCGTTTAATATTCAAGACCCGCCACAATTTGATGACACTTACCGCTCTAATTTCTTAACCCTACACAAAACCTCCACTCTGGCCTCTCTGATTTATTTCCTGTACCCAGAGCACACACTGTGGTCTGAAAGGGCCACCTAGGGGAGCTGGGGATGGGAACCTGTCCATATGGGAACAGCTGGCCGAACAGACCAGGATGAGTTGTTAGCTGGGGAAACTCAGGTTGGAGGGAGGTAATAGGACAGTTGGGGTGAAGGTCTTCACCAAATCCAAGTGGACAAGCTCCAGTCGAGGTTTGCTCATTTTGATTGCCTAGTTTCCATCCCAGTTGAGCTGCCTGTCATCTGTCTTAAAGCCAGTGGTGTTTCATGACTGTTTCTGAACAGAAACTTGGTACATATCACGCACATTTTCATCTCGGGGCTCAAGGCATGTCCTTCACCTCAAGGGCCTGTTTCTTTTCTTTTCTGCCTATTTGAATTCCACCTATCCTTCAGTGCTCAACTCCAAAGCATGACAACTCTGGTCTGTCTCAAATGACAACTCTGGTCTGTCTCAAATAACCTACTTCTCAGATACTTGACATCATTCTCTAATTCATTTCTGATTCAGTGCTGGCATTCACCACTAGACTGACATTCACCACTAGAGTCTATTTTGCCCAGGCAATTACATTGAGGATTTTATGATTACTGACTAACTAACTGTCTCATTCAAATGGAACAGTATGGTTTTTTGTTTGTTTTTGAGTCCACGTCTCACTCTGTCACTTAGGCTGGAGTGCAGTGGCACGATCCTGGCTTACTGTAGCCTTGACCTCCTGGGCTTTGGTGATCCTTTTGTCTCAGCCTCCCAAGTAGCTGGAACTACAGGTGTATGCCATCATACCCGGCTAAATTTTTGATTTTTTTTATAGAGACGGGGTCTGGCTACATAGCCCAGGCTGATCTCAAACTTTGGGCTCAAGCGATTCTCCTGCCTTGGCCTCCCAAAGTGCTTAGATTACAGGCGTGAACCACTGCCCAGCTGGATATAAAGCAGTTTGGATATGGACTGTTATATTAAGGTGTCTCTTAGATTTAAATACCAGGCGAAGGTAACAAAGTACTGTAAACTAGCAATGGAATGTGGGAGCATAAGGCACAATAAATTCTTATTGCCCATGGCTAAAATGAAATAAAACATTATTCCAGAATAAGAAAGAAAGAAAGTAAAGCTTTCATGAAAAAATATGAGCAGGTTAACTTTTCCGGCACACTGAACGGCACCTGAGTGACTCCAAAGAGTTATTGAACTTGAAAATAAACAATCACCGCATACCCTGCTAGTGACTGGGATATGATGTACAGTTATGAGAATTTCTCATGGTGATGAGTTTAAAATAAAGAAGTTCACAACGAACACATTCAATCTGGAATAAGTTTACCATTTGTAAGCCAAAGACAATATGCCGCTTGAAACTTCTGTAAATTCTGATCAACATGATGTGGAAAAACTCAGTGCCAAGTTTGTGTAAGTTATGAGGAACAGAAAAGAGCTACTTGCTATTTTATCTGTGTCTTATTTTTGCCCAGATCAAAAATAGAGAAATCAGAAGCTTTTTCCATATGCTAACACGCTATGAAGGTTCTTCACTAGTTTCAGGTGATGACAAAAACTGAAGGTCGTCTTTCTGTGCTCTAATCTAAAGATACCCAGGCCTGTGGCCAGGCTGGCAAGTCATTACCAATATGCCTGGAAACCATCGGTCCCAGTTTCTTGCTAGTTGGTGGGCAGGAGTACAGAAACTTTAAACTTTGAGCTAAGGGAATAATTCTAGCTACTGTTATCAACATCTGGGGTCACATAGAGTTAGTGTGAAGATTCCCCCCACTTTATAGGTCTTTTAAAAATGTTTTTATTTATGTATTTATGTATTATTTATTTATTTTTTTGAGTAGAAGTCTCACTGTGCCAACCTGCTGGGCTCAGGCGATCCTTCCGCTTTAGCCTTCCAGGTAGCTAGAACTACAGGTGCATGCCACCACGCCCGGTTAATTTTTTTGATTTATTGTAGAGTCAAGGTCTTGCCAAGTGGGCTCAGATAATCCTCTTGCCTCCACCTCCCAAAGTGTTGGGATTACAGGTGTGAGCCACTGTGCCTAGCTTTTTTTTTTTTAAGTTTTTAAGAGGAGTTTTACTTCTTAGGTGTGTAGCACAACGAACAGAAAGGTACCAAGATTCTCACATACTCCCTGACCCTGCACATGTATTGACTTGCTTTTTTTTCCAGGCCTTTGGAAGGCAGAAGAATTCTTCTCTTCCACATTGGCCATTTCCAGAGGTCACGTGTGAAGATTCCTCTGGCATCTTGAGGATTCTGGTGTGAGGAGCCCAGGACTTGGATGCCCTGTACAACTCCCTTCTACTGGAGGTTGACATTTCCCAAAGATTCATGCCAGGGAGACTGTACCTGGTGAAACTATTTAAATACTCACCTTGAGGAGTCTGGCTGGTTTTAGCTTCTACCTACAGAAGGCTGGCCTAACTAGAATTGTCTGGCCTTTGGAGGGTGTAGATATTACAACTTTCTCCTTGGAAGTTGATTATAGCTCTAGTTTAGGTAGTGGAGGCCATGGAGAGGAGTGCTTGGAATGGTTAGCAAGGAGAGAGGAGATACAGGAGTTGTTCTTTACTGCCATATCTTCTCAAAATTTAGTGAGTCAATCTGATTGAGAGGATCTGGGCTGTGGCATCAGCCCAAGAGGATTCAGAAAGGAGCCACAGTGGAATCTAGACTACCTAGAGAGTCCAGACTAACAACTGCACTCACCTCACAAGGAAAGTCAGCCAAGTTTCCACTGGTGAGTCTGGATGCTGTAGGCAATTTAGTGATTTCCTGTTGGCCACCCCCCACTGCTGCCTCCTCCCACCTGCAAGCGGTCTCACCCATCCATAAATCCTGTCCAGCTCTGGATTTCTGCCCAATGTTTCAGAGGGTTGGACTCACCAAGGAGAGCGGAATTCCCAGGATCCAGGACCAGCTGTGTTCCCAGAGGAGAGGTCAGCACTGAAGGAAGGTTCGGTCCAGTGGCCGAGAGCAAGGCCCTGATGTCTTCCAACTGTGTGGGAACTTGGGGAGGATCTGTGAGAAGGGCAGATGGTGGATCAGGCAAGTGAAAGCACAAAGGCCACATGTTTAGGGAAGAGGGAGAGATGGGTATGTGTGTGCGTGTGCATGTGTGTGTGTGTTTGTGTAAGACAAACGTTACCATTGTTGCCTTTTAACAACATTTTCCCTGTGGAAAAGGAGTTCCCGTCAAACTGAGTCTGAATTTCAAACTTAATATAGGTATTTGATGTCTAAAATAATAAGTCAGCAATAAGATACAGGCATGTTAATTTCAAGAATTCTTCACTTTATACCACAGTACCACTGGGTCTCTGGAAATCTATTGATAAGCTAAACCGTATTTTTTGTGTGTATGTGCTTTGCTTGTTTGCTTGTTTTTTTTGAGCTGGAGTCTCACTCTGTTGCCTAGGCTGGAGTGTAGTGGCACACTCACGGTCACTGCAGCCTCCACCTGCTGGGCTCAGGTGATCCTTTCGTCTCAGCCTTCAGAGTAGCTGGAGCCACAGGCTAGTGCCACCACACCCAGCTAATTTTTTTGATTTATTGTAGAGACGAGTCTCACCAAGTTGTCCAGGCTGGTCTCGAATCCCTGAACTCAGGCAATCCTCTCCCAACTGCCTCCCAAAGTGCTGGGATTACAGGCATGAGCCACTGTGCCCGGCATAAGTGAGTCTTGATGGTGCCTGAGTCTACTGTCTTTCTGCCTTTGACTACTGTTGCGTAAACAATCACGAACTAAAGATTTTATATACATATCGGGGTGCCAAAAACATATACACATTTGCAAACATCAGACTTAAAATGTGTATACATTTTTGGTACCCCCCATATATATATTTTTATATTTGAAATATAATTTTTAAACCTCCCCCTTCATATGGTATATAGAAAAACACCATGCCTAGGTTTGGAGAAACTCAGTTTGAGCTATGGCTCTCCCATTTACTAATTCGAGCAAGTCACTTGATCAGTCTGAGCCTTAGTTTTCTCATCTATAAATTGAAGTTCCTTTCCAAAATCTCCTATCCTGGAATTGATGGTAGCAGTTCACTCAAAACTAGTCTCTCTTCGTTGAAACTCAAGAAACCTTTGTTTATTTACTAAAAGCAAAAAGGGGCCGCTATGTTCTATCTTCAGAACAATCAACTCTCATTGGCCTCATGTTGGTCCCTCCTAATGTCCTTACAGTTTCTATACTATTTTTCTTTCTCAGGGCATGTCAATTTGTTTTTCCCAGGGAAACTGCAAATTCTCCAGGGGCATTGGTTACCTCTTATAATTTTCCTAAAACTCTACCAGTGTCCGGCTGATATGGAACTTAAAGTCAGCAAAAATATGTGGCAACATTTAATAAATATTCATCCAGTGACTATAGGAATACATGAATGCAAGTCTGTCTCATTACATTTAAAGTTCTCATGGTACTAAGTCATAGAGCTTGGCTTGAAAATCTCAGCTTTATCTATAAAATATCCTCTTTAAAAATTAAGCCACATTTTTTGTTGATTAATGAAAGAGATAAGATATTATCTCTAGGTTAATAAAGTACCTATTAAAAACCTGCAAACTTTCATTAATAAACCAAGACTTCTGATCAAGAAAATTCTTAAACGTAAGAGTATTAACTGATTTTTTCCCCATTAAGTTTGATTAAAATGGGGAAGACTGGCCGGGTGTGGTGGCTCAAGCCTATAATCCCAGAACTTTGGGAGGCCAAGGCAAGAGGATTGCCTGAGCCCATGGGTTCGAGACCAGCCTGGGCAACATGCTGAGACCTTGTCTGTATAATAAATAAAAAAAAAACCTAGTTGAACGTGGTAGTGCATGCCTGTAGTTCCAGCTATTTGGAAGGTTGAGGTGGAAGGATCACCTGAGCCCAGCAGATCGAGGCTACGGTGGTTGTGAATGTGCCACTGCCCTCCAGCCTAGGCGACAGAGTGGGACTCCAACTCAAAAAAAAAAAAAATTAAAATAAAATAAAGCGGGGAAGACTTCATGCTCTTCCAACACCCTGTTCATGGTCACACCGTATTAGAGTTGGAATGTGGTAAGAAGTGGCCCAGAGAACACACACACTTCATTGGCAAAAGCCATAGTAGCAGTCACATGCCTTAGACTTTCATCTCTATTTGCAGAGGTGACAGGGAAGGGCTATTAGGGAGGAAGGACTCATCAGTGAGCACCATAACTCAGTGTGGGGCAATGATCCCTGGGCTCTGGGCTCCAGACTAGCAGCTCAGCTGGATGAAACCCAACGCAAAACAAATGACATCTTTCTCTGAGCCAGTTTTCTGTGGCTTCCTAAGATGGCTGGAGGTTTATACAGCCACCAGTGAGATGAAAGCCCATCTGGGCCTCTCTGAAACCTGAGTGGGCAGGGGCTAGAGAGCCTATGTGTTGGTATATCTTCAACTCTGGGTGTGAAAATAGAAGTATAAAGTTTAATTATGTTTCCCCAAGGAAGTCCATAATGTATGTGTATGTAGGTATGTGTGGCATGTCATTATTATTTCTCACATTTTTTTCTTATTTTCCCCTTAGAATGACAGCTCTCTCTTAGTGAGAAAGCTAGCATAAGTGCTATAATAATTGCTTTCTCTCTTTCTCCCCCTCTCCTTTTTTAAAACTTCATCTGACCAACCCCCAGACTCAGTTGGGAAAAAAAGCACAGTGTCCCTCGTCTGGGGAATTAAAAAGGCTTACAATTTGACTGAGTCTAGCACTGGGCAAAACATCAGGTGTTGGATGGCATCCCAGCAATTGTTGTTATTTTTAAGCAACCATTTAATGCCAGAAACCATGCTGGACTCTTTAATCAAGGGTTCTTAGGCTTGGGGAATTGATGTGGAGACTTTAGATGGAACAGACTATAAACTTCTTAGAGTTATATGAAAAATTTTCCATGTATGAATTTTTCTAGAAGGGAGAAATTCAGTTTTCATCTGATTCTCAAATAAGTCCTTAATACAAAAAGGAGTAAAGAATAATTGCTTTACCTCTGTTAGCTCTATTTTCTAACCCCTGCAGCCACCCTTGCGATGTGGACAATCCTCATTTCTTGGGTCTCCACGTAGGGACCAGTCTCTAAGGCTTAGCCAGGTGAAGTAACTTGCCCAAGGTCACATGTTAGTAAGAGGTAGAGCTAGGGTTCAAAGTCATGTTTGCCTGGCCTGAAAGTCTGTCTGCTTGTTTGTTTTTTCCTATCAAAAGGCCCTATACTGGGGAGAAGTGAAGGGATACTGATTTTACTGCTTATGTCCTTAAGGGAAAAAGGAGACGGAGGGTGGGTTAGATTGTCACTCCCAATAGGGCCCACCAGAGGCAGCCAGCTTCAAGGTGCTCACCTAGGATCAGTAGCTGGGTGCTCTCAGTCAGCTCTCCACGGACATTGGCCGCTCTGCAGGAGTACAGTCCCTGATCTGAAGATGACACATTGGTGAGCAGCAAAGAGCCCTCGTGCAGAGGGTAAGGGAAGCCCAGTTTGCTTTTATTCCTGAACCAAGTGACTTCAGCTTCAGGGACACCTAGGGAGAAAAAAAATACATTCATCAGTCAAACACATTCAGGTGAACCCAGAGGCATCGGTAGCATTTTACCCAGCATTCCCTGGGGCTGCTTTGTAGGAAGTATCTGCCTGGGCGTCCTCTACCATCCTTTGGCCAGACTAAATAATGCCTTGGACCTTTCAGTGGTCTCCAGATCTTTTGCCTTTTAACACTTATAATGATGAGGCAGGAAGAGGTAGGCCAGTGAGAAGAGGGGGAAACAGAGGCAGCTGGTGGGCACTTGCCAAAATGGTGAGTTCCCAAGTTCTTCGGAGAAAACATATTTTAAAAACATGAGAACCAATTGTATATGTCAATGAAAACAAAGGATCTACAACTACATTAGGCAAACATTTTGTTGAATAAGAAAAGCCAGACACAAGAGTACATACTATATGATTTCACTTCTGTAAGTAAAAACAAAAGCTGGTTAGCACTCAGAAGATAAGATGAAAGGGAAGAAAAGAGGTTGGGACTGAGAAAGGGGACCGGGGCCTTGGCCACAAGACATGCTCCGCTTCTGGACCTGGGGCTGATTTGGTGGGGAGTGTTCACTTGGTACCTTTATGATATGTGCACTTTTTCTGTTTGGGGATTACATTTTAATAAAAAGTTAAGAGCTACATGATGTTAAAGTATATGTGTGAACTAAACATGTGAAAGTGGATATATCCTTACTAGAGCTGACACTTTTGTAGAAAACATGCTTGTGTTTCTGGAAGCCCACGCATCTGCTCAGAACAAGAAGACATGGAACAAGAAGGAGAAGAGGAAAGTATTCTTCCTTTTCTACAATCCAACTTTATTGTCTGTGACATAGAGCTGGGGAGACAAGTGTGCTGACTTGGGGTGGGAGCTGTCTTTGGAAGTCAGGATCTGGGTTCTAGGGACAGCGTGCATTCCTTGGGAAGTTTCCCTGTGGTTGACATATCGGCAAGCAGGCGCCGTGAGTTTAGGACAAGCCTTCCTACATGGTCTTCTGGAAGAAGGCTGGGCTCTGAGTGTGTTGGGAGACTGAAAACCTGTGGCACTGATTCATGGGTCTCCAGAGGACAGAAGTTCTGTCCCTTATATTCCCCAGCTGATTGGCCCAGTGTACTCACACAACTCGGTGGCATGTATCCTGGCCATGTTTAGAAAGTCAAATCCTGGTAAATGGGGTCAAAGAATGGCTAAGGGGCCAGACCTTTAGTCCAGTGCTTTCCCTGAGTTGAGACTAGCCTCTGCCCTGGACCAAGGGCAATTTGCCCTTAATAGCCAGCCTACCCTAGAGGATACAGAATCTTCAGGAGTTGCAGTGTATCTGTTGCTTATGAAAATTGGTTGGAGGAAGAAAGGCGGGGCTACTGAAAGCGGGTGGAGACTTGGATGCTGCAGCCTTGTTACACTGGGGAGAGGCATGCATGAATTCGACTCAGATGATATGATCCTTGATGATCAAGTGCATGGGAGGGGCTGCACTGGCATCACGTCTAGATATACCTGGAGAAGAGACACAGGTGAGGACGCAACAGCTGATTTTTCATCGTAGCACCACTAGGGAGAGCAAGAGCATCATGATGCCTGCCCATGCCAGCTTGGACTTTGGACTCTGAGCTTAGTTTTTCCATTTAAAAAACCCCCCAGACCCCAAATCTACAGCATTCAGGAGAAAGCCTCTAAAAAATAAGTTGAAGAAAAACAGTCCTGGTCACTTTTCTCCTGAAAGCACAAGGTAAAACGAGGTCCTACAAACCGTTTTCTGCAAGTATTCAACCTCCTCCTCTTGTACTGCTCACATGCTGTCCTTGCTGTAGGCATCTTCTTTTGAGGAAGGCGGCGGCAAGCACAGAGACGCAGGGGGAGAGAGTGAGAGTAACAGAGAGGACTGGAGAGAGGAGAGGTGGAGAGGAGAGGAAGTGGGAGGGTGAGGCGGAGCATCCAGGATGAGGAGAGACCTGGGAGCTACTTCTCTCTTCCCCAGGAATTGGTTGTAAGTTTCTTCCATTCCCTTTGTTACCCTGTGCCTCACATTCCCCTAAAATCATGCTTGTTTGAGAGGATAGGACTGGGTGGATACCAAAAAGGCTGAATTCCTCTGGTGTGAGCACG